ACTTTGTATCTTGTTAAATAGAACTCTGTTAGGTAAATCTTTTCTTCCGTATAAAGTGTCCTGGGTTCCTTTATCCTGCAAGTGACGTAAAATGGCACATCCGACATGGTGACCAGATAAAATTCCGCTGTTGCTGAACTGTATCTTGGTACCCCCAGGATAAAATAACTTGAAAATGTACCGCCTAAGGGAGATAAAAGGGCGGCATATTAGATAATGGGTTACAAAATAATTATAAGAATTTGTCAGTAATTTTTACAAGCTTTTATATAACTCACTTTCTCTGTAATCAGTCTTCAGTCTGTCTCACTAGATCGAAACGCCCGAGCGAAAGTTCGGGCACTTCTAACGGATAGATTCGGTTCATTGTTGGTACGTGGATCAAGACATGAAGACAATGCAGCATGCCAATAAATTTGACTTAATTGGATGACTAATTATTTTTTATGAACTAATTAACATGTTATCCAAATTAGTAGGCTGTCTCATCAAACTATTCCGCACTATTAGACGCGCATCATCACGTTCATTAGGGTCGCAATGATTTTTAGTCGTTCAACTCTATTGTAAATTTTTAAAAAAATTAAAGTACTGAAAAAATTCATAAAAAACGTTTTAGTAACAATCCTTTTTGTAACAATGCACTAAAAAGTAGAAAATAAATTATACACTACTATTTAAATAACTATTAAGAAAATAGTACTTTTCAGTGCATTATTACATAAAAGCTTGTATATTTTATTGTATAATATTCAAAAATACATTCCACTTTTGAATACATTACAAATTATCAACAATTATTATATTTACTGTGTGTGTGTGACGACAGACCTTACACATCAGACAATGTCTATTGTTGGTGCATTACCCGAGATATATTCTACTTTTCATCTTGTAATTACAAATTTGTCTCATGCAATTCTCTTTAAAATTGGTAAAATTATGAAATACTAATCTTCAAACTTGATTGCTTTTTCTTCTGCTGTAATTTTTCATCTGCTTTACAAAGTTATTATTTTTGTATTATAAAACACATTTTTGAATATATAATTATAACAATTATACCTGCGTGTACTACAGTACAATGTTGCGTTAGAGTTGTCAAAATAACAGTTAATAGAAACATGATCTGCAATGAAATAAAGACAAGAAATGCTCATTATAACTCAGAACAAATGTTTGTTTTTATTACAGGAAGAAAAAACTTAGGGCAGATGATGTAGATAACACTAGTTAATGTAATCACGACAAACGAAATGATAGTGTTATTAGTTGGAAGCCCAATCGCTATTAATTTCCCAAAAGTAAATGAAGTTGGTACATCCTACGAACTCGAGATCTTTTCTCGACTTCCGGAATAGCAGACTCGCAGATTCAATTTTTAGCTTTGAGTTGGAGGCTGCGACAGTGTGGGTTAAAGAATGGCTGGCACAAATATGACACTACTAATGCTCACATGAGCTTTACTGTAAAATACCGTAAAACGATCAGGTCGAATGGTAGAGCGGACTGATGGTAGTCTGAAAGTCTAGAGTTCGTATTCCGGGCTCGAGCCTGAAGAACGTACCTGAATACACACCGCTCTGACAGGGTACCTGACTCACTTTATGAGTATAAAGACGGGTGGGCGTATTGTAGTTCACATTATCCCTCTGTATTTAAAGTTCGTTGCAACAGATCAACTCTACTTCAACTGCATCATGTTTCATGGATAGAAGCGGTAAAGATGATGATTGAATCACATATGACCTACGGTCATAATACCCAATCGGAACACCTTGTGTTACCTTTATGCATATAGTTATTCTAGTGGTTATTTACTCACACGTTTGAATAAAGGTAAAGTTCACACTAACTAGCTGATGAATAGCCACAGGCATAAATCATGAAGGTCTCCGTGTGATGAATGATAACATGTGGGTAATTAGCTTTATTTTAGTTGATTTGACTTTCTCTCGTGACCAAAGTCTTAAACCAAAAATAAATGTCGATTTAGTGTTTGTATTTTAATTAAGATAAATATTCTGCTTTCTTTGCATTGTCTTGTCCAGTTGGCTTTAATAAAGTAAGACACATGCTCTTTGGTTAAGTGCAATAAAACTTAATAGCACCCATTTTGTATTGCTTAAATTAAAAATATGATGATTAAATAGCATATTATGTAGACTATAAGAGAGAGTAGGCGATTGAAAAAAAAACCAACCGCATAACTCTATTCTTAAAATAACCTCATACCATTATAAAAAACTATTTAAATCGTAATACCTCCATTATAAAAGTTGACTAAAGCGAAGTAGACACAAGAAAATGTCTATTTGTTTATTTGACTTTGTAATTTGCATTGACTGCCGCCGGCCATGTTTCTTACGCACCAACTTCCTCTACATTTTAATGTAAAGTATGTTATTTTCGCACCTACTTTCACGCGCATGATTACATTAGATGAAAACAACTTCTGCTCTGGCTTCTGTGAAACCAACCACAAACAAAAATACAAACCCAAAGAAAAAAAACACTAAAACGAAAAAAGAAAGTACAAAAACGAACCAAATCAAAACGCAACCATTAACGCAAACCCAACCTAAACACAAAGAAAACACAAACGCGAACATAAACGCAAAGTGCTCACAGTCTAGCCCAGGGCAGAATCGCCTGTTTCAGCTTAATAAACGACTATAGTACCCCAACTTATTCATAGTCTTTTGCACTCACTTAAACGAACGTAGGTGCCAAACCAAACCAAATAAACAATTATAATACTCCAAGCTTGTCCGTAAAATACCTACAACATTTGCACTTGATCATCCCCGCTAATTATGTAATTATTTTTTTCCCAACACCAAAACAAAGTAATAAAAAGTAAATTATTTCCCACTAATGCAATGTTTTATAAAGGGAAGTAATTGTGTTTTCCTAATTTATCAAAGGGAAGTAAGTGCTTAAGGACTAAATATAAATAATTTTCAGACATAATTAGAGTTTTTGTAAAAGATGATATTTTTTTTAAAATTGTGTTTAATGAAATGCCGACAATTATTACTATCAGTTTGAAAAATGAAAATTATTTTCCAACACTTTCAACAGTAATTTTTTAATTCATAAATGTAGACTATGAGCATGATAATAATCTAACACTTAAATCCATAGAAGTATGTCAACGACAAACTTTATACAAACATACTGAATTGAGCTTTAAATATTATATAGAAGAATTCTTGTAATTAAATGGTGTTCCAAATTTACCCTTACAGATACAACAGACACTTTTCGGAACCTACACTTGAAAAACATAACACCTAAAGCTAGGGAAATAACATATAGACTAATCTACAATACAACACCGATAGGCCAAAGTCAGACCGCCCACTGCCTACTATGTAGACAAAACACAATAGAAACAGAATCACACATCTTTTTAGAATGCCCCGCCATACAGACAATGAAAAACAACCTTAGGGCCAAAATAACTAGTAAAAAAGACACATACAATGTTGATATAGCCATAACGCTAAACAAACTACCTAAGCAAAAGGACCGGACAGACTTAGAAGACAAAGAAAGGACTTTAGCCATTTATAAACAAACTATTTGGACTAGTAGTAACAGAGCTAAATTCGAAAATTCACAGTTTACGGGACAGATTCTAGATTTAATATTTAGCAGACGACTGGACAAATATGGCACACCAACACACAAACTATAAATAGTAACACCCCAGTAGTAAGTTCACACACAACACAGTCTCTTACGCCTGGCTCGCCTTAAACTCACACACTCAGTGCCCCGTCAACCATCGCGACCCGCCCCTTACCCTCAGCATTCATGTCACGCAACAATGATTCCGCTTTATTGGCCCGCCTTACCCAACTAATCCCCACATACACCTTCCCGCCCCTCAACGTTTCTTTTTTCTTCTAATTTTTGTTTATCCATGTAACTTTTAGGCACATTTTGGCCCACACAACAACCTCCGTCCACACCTCCCCGCCCACCCTTTAACCCCCACCTACACCACCCCGCCCACCCAACAACCCCCACCTACATATCCCCGCCCCAAAATTGTTTTTTTTTCTTTCAATTTTGTTGTTATACCATTATAAGAATGTTAATTTCTCTTTGAAATTGTAGTATTGTACCAACTCTAAGGCTGTCAAGCATGGCAAGCTCTTTTCGTTTCATACATCAGTTGTTCATGCATCAATCACCCCCCACCACTGTTTTTTTCTTTCTTTCAATTTTGTTGTTATACTATTATAAGAATGTTAATTTCTCTTTGAAATTGTAGTATTGTACCAACTCTAAGGCTGTCAAGCATGGCAAGCTCTTTTCGTTTTATACATTAGTTGTTCATGCATGAATCACCCCCCACCTACACCTCCCCGGCCACCCATCAACCCCCACCTACACCTTCCTGTCCCACCACTGTCCTTTTCCTTCAATTTTGTTCATCCATGTAACTTTTAAGAACATTTGACAATTTGGAATTTTCTATATGATAGTTTTGTAATTGCATTATTTATCTCTATTGCCACACATGGCAAACTTTATATTGTGAGCATCAGCTGTCAATAGACACACCATTACAAGATTGTTAATTTCTCTTGAAATTGTAGTATTGTATCACTATGAGGCATTCTTTTTTTGCTCTATATATGTATCATTGTATATTTACCGAGGCCGTCAAACACGACGCGCTCTTTTTTATTTTCATCTGTCGTTCACACATGAACCACCTCTCTAAAATGTATCTTATTATAATCAACTTAACCCCTGTGATGGTTAAATGAATTTGTAAATTGTGTTATTGTTTTAATGCAAATAAAAGTATTTATAAAAAAAAAAAGAATTCTTGTAATCATGCTATAACAAATCTCGACGTTTTACACCTCCGTGAGTCGGAAAAACATAGTTTTTCAATTTCGTCCGAGTGTCTGTGTAAGTATGTGTGTATGTATGCATGTGTGTCTGTGAGGTGACAGGACAAATGATCTCAGGACAAATGATCTCAGACAAAATATCTCAGACAAAACATCTCGCGGACAAATGATCTCAGGACAAATGATCTCAGGACAAATGATCTCAGGACAAATGATCTCAGACAAAATATCTCAGACAAAACATCTCGCGGACAAATGATCTCAGGACAAATGATCTCAGGACAAATGATCTCAGGACAAATGATCTCAGACAAAATATCTCAGACAAAACATCTCGCGGACAAATGATCTCAGGACAAATGATCTCAGGACAAATGATCTCAGGACAAAAGATCTCAGACAAAATATATCAGACAAAATATCTCGCGGACAAATGATCTCAGGACAAATGATCTCAGGACAAATGATCTCAGACAAAAGATCTCAGACAAAATATCTCAGGACAAATGATCTCAGGACAAAAGATCTCAAGGTCAAATGATCTCACGGACAAAAGATATCAGGACAAAATATAACAGGACAAATGATACCAAGGACAATTTATCTCAGACGAAATATCTCACGGACAAATTATCTCACGGACAAATGATACCAGGACAAAATATATCAGGACACGGTGGTAATTTTTATACACATTTGTTTCGACAAAAAAAATTTCTATGAAATATATCACAGTATATATATATATATTTATATATATATATATATATATATATATATATATATATATATATATATATATATATATATATATATATATGTATGTATTATAGAAAATGTGTAGTTGTGTGTCAACTTTTCAGCGATTTCCGGTAACCGGAAGTGGAACTTATTCTACTTTTAATTGTTCAAAGGCCTATAACTTGATTACTGTTTAAGATAGATCAAGGACATTTTATTCTCTGCCTTCTGTCAAATTATGAGTAATTTCCCTTGACCGGAAGTAGTAATTGAAGTAGTAATTTAAGCTATTTCCGGTTTAAAAAAAAAACGCAATCCTTTTTATCTACGAGGTTCTATTATATTTTTAAAAAAGTTAAAATAATTAAAATGAATTAAAAATCACGTTTATATCCCGAGTTGCCATCCCCCGTTGAGTTATATAAGAATATTCGAGAAAGTTTAGGGAAGATCACATTTTTCTTGTCGGATATTTATCTGCTCTACTATTTAAATTATTGTTAGGATGCTTGTATGGTGTTTTTATTTATGTCGGTAGTTGATTGTAGTTGAATTTAAGCACATTTATCTTGAGCTTTTAATACAATCTCTATAAAACAAAAATTAAAATCAAGAAAAACCAATTGTGCTGAGTTTGGTCCTCATTAAACTGTAGTTGGAACTTGTTTTATACGGATTGTTGCGCATAAGTACCAGACATGACATAATCAGCAATCGTCTCCAAAAACACATTTACTTTTTTAAAAATAAAACATCGCAACATTTGATAATAGAAAATAAAATAATTTGCAATTATTCTGTATCTTGCTTGACACATAATTTTTTTTTCTCTGCGGACATTCTCATTTTTTAGACAAGCTTAAAATAAATTACGATCAATATTCATATTTATTGATTAGGTGATTTTATAAGCTAGTTCATCGACCAATTTATCCTCAAAAAACGTTTTTTTTTCACATAAAGGAAAATCAATATGTTTTTAGAACATTCAATGTATGTAATGTAGCAGTATGTCACTTATTATGTAAACTTTTATTATCTCAGCACTGGTCATTGTTGGGTTAATAGTCATCTGTTTCTGATATCAAATCCTTATATGATTATACGAGACAGATAAACTTGGCATCGCACAGTATTTGCATTAACGTGTTTTTGGTTTAATGGACTAATGAGTCGAAACCAAAGAGTATACTATGGACGTAGCTATTGTTATACTCTTTTAAATTTTAAAATGTAGAGTATTACAACCGTATATATTTTTGAAAAATTAAAAAAAAAACGAAGTATTTGTATTTTTAAATTTATTTACAAACTTTACTTAATCTAATCTAAAAATAAATTTGCACTGCATTAAAACAAAAAGCAAAATCCAATGAAATGTCACGAATGACTACTGCTTTTATTTATCCGTCATAATTTGTTCAGTGACTGTGTATTCTTTAGAAGACACACGCTTTACTGTCACAACAACATCTGGCTTCTTCTCCAAGTGTAGCCTGAAGAAATTAGAAAATTTTATTATTTTTTTTAGTTGAATATAGATTTAATATTTATAAAATGCATAATAAGGTTTAAATCTAAATTTGAAAAGAAAAAAATTACAGGAAACATTTATTGTTACATATGAAACCTACCTACTCATACAGAAACCATACAAGGTCCCCAAAAGCAGAACGAGGAATATGTAGTACACAACAGCTGATAAACCCACATCGTATACTGTAAAAAACATAAACACTTTTTAAAATAATTGTACATAAACACGCATGTACTGAACAACATTGAGTACACATACAAATGCAAAATGTGTGCACTGAAGAACAATGGCATACTTGCAGGACATATTCCTTGCACTCGTTCAATGCAGTCTCGTCCATTACACTTCTCGAAACATGAATGTTTACACGCGAGACCGTAGGTCATTTCAGGGCAAGCTGGGAAATAATTACATCATTAATAAATTAGATTAAGCGTCTTTGTTATACCTAAACGAATATTGTGGCGATATACTAAAAAACTTGGCCGATTCTAGCTGAAAAAAGATATGCATCCGCAATGGAGAGAAAATACCGCCTTGTTACGCGGCGATGTTTTCGATGGTACTGTGCATGAGTGAGTTTACAAACAAACCACAGAATCCTAACCCTATCCCTAACCCTAAACCTAATCCTAACCCTATCGCTAACCCTAACCCTATCCCTAAACCTAAACCTAAACCTAAACCTGAACCTAAAGCTAAACCTAACCCTAACCCTAACCCTAACCCTAACCCTAACCCTAACCCTAACCCTAACCCTATCCCTATCCCTAACCCTATCCCTATCCCTATCCCTAACCCTAACCCTAACCCTAACCCTAACCCTATCCCTATCCCTATCCCTATCCCTATCTCTAACCCTAACCCTAACCCTAATCCCTCCCCTAACCTTAACCCTAACTATAGCACTAACCCTAACTCTAACACTTGCGCAGCTAATAAGGTCACCGCGCATGCGCAGAACTATTGTGTTTCGTATTTTCTTCAAAGAAAAATTCTTTTTTTCCGAGGAGTCACTTCTAAAAAAAATGTTTCGCCTACTAGACTAGATACTTACGTGTTGTACATTTTTCTCCCGTCCACCCATCTAAACACGACAGGCACTTTCCTGTGATTAGGTTACAAGCTCCGGCACAATGCCCACATGTATTCTCACAGTAGCGTCCATACTTTCCAAACGGGCAAGGCGCTAAAGGTAAACATTTGACAATGCTTTTGTTACCAAATTGTTTATTGTACCCTATCACTTCAAGTTAGTTACTTTCTATTATAACAAAAAAAAATGTTGTCGAGTATATTTTTGACAACTGTTTTTGTCGTTCACTCTAAAGATAATTTCAAGTAAATATCAAAACATGTTAAAACAATTTTAATTTGTAGAGAGGAGTAGGCTACATTCTATTACATTTAAAAAAAAATTAACTGAGTCATTTTTAGGATAATTTTGAATTTTGTTAGTGTCTGTTATTAAACTTTGTTATAATAGATTTATCAAGTCGCATTTTATTGCAAAATACTTGTGTATAATTTAACTGTAAGAGCAATTAATTAATCATTTAGCCTCTGCCGGTAGTCAAACTAGTATATGTTATAAATAAAATTACCAGAAGGTTGCTAAATCGGGGCAGTATTGGCTCTGATTAGGATCCATAGTGAAGTGAGATACTTGTTAACATTTTCTTAATTATTATGATTATAGTGTATGTTTTAAAAAGAAAAGAGATTAATTTAAATAATTTATGTTTGTTTCTAATTTTATTAACTATAGCTTTAAAGTGTATAGCGTGTGGTCAAATCAAATAAAAACGTTAGTAGTATTGTATTTAAAACTTAAAAGCGCTGATATAAAAACGTGTGAACGAATAGAACTAACCGAACTGTTAAGTGTTGTTCGTAAATATTATTACAACCGGTTTGAAGTTTAGTAACTACCTGAATAATGCGTAAACTTAAGTTTCCAAAATAGAAATAAAAGCGCAAATAGAATTTGAAAATCATTTTATTTTGTCCTATTTCGTAGAAAGATTTTTTTTTTAAAATGCAAACTAATAAAACATGGGCCTTCTATATACTATTTTAAAATTATCAATAATAATTTTTTTAAAATATTCCTGTCCAACTATGTCAATAGTATATTTCTGTCGTGCATTTTCCGAGGCAAGATCGCAACCACTTTTTTAAAAGTAGTTTTTAATACTGAATCATATCGTTTTCTTCATTTTAAATCATTATTTGTGGGAGAATTACAATTTTTTTTTAAAATTAAATATTTTATTATTTTCATACGGACCCAGGGCATGTAATATTTTCGGAAGAAAATTCTGTTTCAAAACAGACAAAAAACTTTTATTTAAGATAGAAATTCTGGTAAAAGCGACATCTATCTTAGCATGGGAATTAAAAAGTGTGACGTTATGGAGTAAGGGTAAATGTCGTCAGAATTTTTCTACAAATGACACAGAACACTACTCACTCATCCTACAGACACGACATTTCTCATTGTTACTCTCTTCCTCATATCCCATACATCTCATCCCTTCGTATTCTGGCGCTGGGTTTTCACACAATCGACTGAAAAACAAAATCGACTAAAAATAAGGTTTTTTTTTTTCATAAGATCGTCAGCGAATTGTTTTTTTTATTCTCATAACCCATTGAAAAAAACATGTTTTTTTTTACATAATCGACTAAAACAGTTTTTTTACTCACATAAAAGACTGAAAAAAGTTTTGTTTCACATAATAATACAATCAGAATCCATTCATAATTCAACTTATTTGAATAAATAGAATAAATGTACATGTTCAAATAATTGACTGTAAGAAAAATTACATAAACACAACTTCAGAACAGTCATACAGATAAAACAGTTAAATTTACTTTGCTTAAAAGAATATTCTCACTCAAAACATGATCAACAGTAATAATAGGAAAACCCAGGATTTTTCATTTTTACGAAACTAAAAGAACATTACAAATCTTGCACCGAAATAAAATATTACTGAAGTCTCAAATGTGGTCGAGTATTTCCAGTTTCGTTTTTTTTTTATATTACTCATTGAAACTCTTACGAGTTGAAACGAGTTGAATTCAATACTATGTGGGTTTTCATATTTTTAAATATTCCAGCTAAAACATACTATGGTCTTTGTTCTTGTAATCTTTTACAACGTACAACGTATAAGGATCTATACATTAAGCTACAGAGATTACCTTCTCTTCGAAAATGTTTCCTCACACCCTAAACAGATAAATTCACTCCATTCACCCCATCCTCCGTCCTCTAAAAAAAACAGACGTTAAGATTACTTCACTAGTCGGATTAATCTTAATAAATCAGTTTGCTTCTGATTTGCATTTTAAAGACACACATATCTAATATATATATATATATATATATATATATATATATATATATATATATATATATATATATATATATATATATATATATATATATATATATATATATATAAATATATATATATATATATATATATATATATATATATATATATATATATATAAATATATATATATATATATATATATATAAATATATATATATATATATATATATATATATATATATATATATATATATATATATATATTATCTATATATCTAATATTATCTATATATCTAATCTTTTTTTTTTATCAAGAGCAAGTTTATAGACACAATAACGTTAATATTAACCATGCAATATTGTAGGTATTTTTAATACTGAACTTTATTTATTCTATACACTTTTATATATATATATATATATATATATATATATATATATATATATATATATATATATATATATATATATGTATATATATATATATATATATATATATATATATATATATATATATATAATTTTATGTATTTATATGTAAATACATGTATATACATGTGTGTAAATACACACACGCACACGCACAAACACACACACACAGACACACACACACACACACACATATATATATATATATATATATATATATATATATATATATATATATATATATATACATATATATATATATATATATATATATATATGTATATTTATTTATTTATTTAATTATACATACATATAAATATAAACATAAGAGGGAGAGTTTTGGCGTAGTATATCTATATATATTTACAAATGCATTTTTATTTTTAAGTCTTAGATACACATTAATGTAACTGTAATGTAACTGAGTGTATTTGAGTAGATATCTACAGTGTTTCTTCCAGACGTTTTCAAGGTGCACTTGATATTTTCGTGGGGGGGGGGGGGGACAACATTTATCGGGAGGGGGGTGGCGGAGACTGGTAAAATTCTATTTCGTTAGGGGGGGGTAGAGATGCCTGGAAGAAACTCTGGATATCTAGCATTATATAAACTCATGCAAGTGTAAAAATTCTGGGTTACAAGGTTTGATTTATGTACAACAAACACCGTCTAAAAACATTAAACTGTACATGCTATCTAATCATTTACAGATACAACGTTAATTAAAGTATTGCAAAATTCGATTTTTAATACAAATAAACAGAAAAAATAAAAATTACTAATTTAATTACGTGTTTTATATCCTCTTGAAAAGACCCCACATAAAAGCCACATTTTGTCGACAATTTTAGCAAATTTATTAATAAATACACACAAGTAAATGGTGTTAACAAATCTAATTGTTCATATCGCTTCAAGCAAAGTTTAGCGAAACTCGTATGTTAAGGTTTATGTGCAAGAATGTAAATATTTACAAACCTTCCCTTCCTCTTGATATATCCTCTCCTATCTTATTATCTCCGTCTTGGTCTTCACCTGTCAAGACATTCAAATACAGTTTCAATTTTGTAAAAATAATATTTGCCTGAAAATAATTAAATTACGCATACACCGGTCATTTATTTATCGGTAACTTGAATAATATTTATTTAATATATAAAGCAATACGTTCTTAATTTCTATAAATTTTAACAATAAACAATTAAAGAGTATTTTAAGGCAGAACGCGCTTAGATTATATATTTATCAGGAAAACAAATTATAAAAAAATTAAAGAGTATTTTTTAGTATATGATTTTATGAAAACACACTGAGGTAATATATTCATCAGGTATACTGTCACGCTATTATTTACTGTTTAACAATTCCGACAAGGAGGGGGGAGGGGGGGGTAGCACAATAAAATATAGAGAGAGCCATGAAACGTTTCATTGTTCACTTGAATTAAAATCATGTGTTCACAAAGTCATGTCATTTCTCAAAATTACGAGGGGGGGGGGGGGGAGGAGGGCGATACCTAATGTAAATTAATAATTATATATATGGCTTATATTTTTTTTATTTGTGTGTGTGTGAGGGTGACACCACGACATCTAGACATCTAGACATTTAAACAATTACACGTATAGACGTACATTTATATAGACATCAATACAGACATCTCGATATCTAGACATCAAGGCATGAAGACATATGTAGTGAACAAGTGAAGGGGGATGAAAGGGTGTGAACGTTGTTTGTACTTGCTACCCTATCCCATTATACATATAGACATATAAACTATAGACATATAGGCATATAGACATATAGACATATTGAAATAGAGACATAGACACATAGAGACATAGAGAAATAGAGACATAGAGACATATAGACATATAGACATAAAGACATATAGACATATAGACATATAGACGTATACACGTATACACGTATACACGTATACACGTATACGCGTATACGCATATACGCATATACGCATATACGCATATACACATATACACATATACACATACACACATACACACATATACACATATACACATATTCACATATACACACATACACACATACACATATACACATATACACATATTCACATATACACATGCACGCATGCACACATGCACACATGCACACATACACACATACGCACATGCACACATACACACATGCACACATGCACACATGCACACATGCACACATGCACACATACACACATACACACATACATACACATATACACATATACACATATACACACATACACACACATACACACATACACACAAACACATATACACACATGCACACATACACATATACACATATACACATATGCACATATGCACATATACACATATACATATATAAACCTATAGACAGACACATAGACATTATACTTCATCGGACATAATTTTTCACATCTAGATATCATACGTCACACAATAAGACACGTCTATGCTTTAGGAAGCTTGACATCTATACTTAAGACATCTAGGTATCAGACCGCTAGACATGTAGATATCATACATATAGATGACAGACATCAAATATCTAGAGAACAGACGTCTAGGCATCTTGAAATTATACTTTAAGACGTCAGACATTAGACATTTATATATGAGACACCAATACATCACACATCCAGACATCAGACATCTTTACATAAGATAATCTATAAATACCTGGAAGATCTTCGTCCACTCTCTTATCACAGTCATTGTCTAATCTGTCCCCTGGCTTAATAGGTCTATAAGCCATAGCAAAGTTGTCGAACTTGCACGACTTCGTAGGAAAACATGGTCTCAATTAATAGATGGTTTTTAAATTTGCATTCATCTTAATTAAACATTATGTAAATTTTTAAAACATTTGTATCTGGTTTGTGTTAATCTATAAAAAGAATTATAAATGTTCTATATCAGGTAGGAAAATATTGTTTGTAATAAATATTGTTTTTATAGATTAATTCGTGTAAAAACACTTAAATCGAGCAATGTCTGATTGCCCGTTTAAAAATTTTCTATAAGCGAAGCATGTCGTAGGTGTTGTCAAAGCATATCGTTATTAGATATAGCTTTATCAACGTTTCAAGTGAACTGAAACAAACTTGTTTTCATAGGACTGTGTGAAAATGGCATCGTAGTAATTGTTATTGTCAACATAGAAACTATGTTTTTAACCATCATCTCTTGTTAATTTTTTTTTCCAAATTTAAATCTGAGCACATTCAAAATACTTTCAATACATAACAATACATAGTACACTTATCAGATAAATGAACGTTGGTATAGATTTAGCTTAATAAAACAAAGTCGGTTTCCCGAGTCAAGAAACAATAATAAAGTTAGCTTTCCGATTATTGTAATCCAGTCTTGTGTTAAATAAAGTGTTTTTTGTATGAAATTTCACCTCGTCTTTGACTACATAACCCACAGTATGTAGGAATGTGCCGCCATCTTTCCAGCCATACAAGTAGAGGCCGAAGTTGTCGTGATTGGTCGAGTAAGCTGAATGCCAGCCGGGTGAGATTTGCAAATACCTCACTTGGTACGTGGTTGTACTCACATCAGACACTATAGCTCTAGAATAAAATCTGTACTTTAATCAAATGTTATAACACTTTGTCAAATTTCTAGTTTATTTATCCAATGTTTATATTTTTGCTAAAATAGCAGAACATTAAAAGATTTTCGGAACATATTTTTGTGATTCTCCATATAAATATATAAATAAATAAATAAATAAATAAATAAATAAATAAATATATATATATATATATATATATATATATATATATATATATATATATATATATATATATATATATATATAATTATATATATATATGTCAACTGTCGAAAGAAAGAAAAAAACAACACCAAACTACTCAACATCCTCTGACATGAAGGTAAACACAGCTCTAGAGTCAAAGCTTACTTGAAACTCGTCTCTAACCTAAATATCCATTTAGTAACCCCTGTCATTAACCTACATAGCCATTCAGTAGTACCCTTCTCTAGCCAAACTAGTCATGAAATAGTCATCGCCCTATCAATCAAGTTTCAGTCGCTCCTAGTCTAACTCAACAAAAAGTCTCAATACTAACTTGTAGCTTAATGCGCGCACGTCGTCAACTAAAATATCGGAATATGTGTCTTTTTCAGCAATCATAATCAGAAAAATTCTCATGGGTCCCACACTTGAATTACTGGGCAATGGTACACTGAGGAGAGAGTGCAACAACGTCAAAGTAAACGATGTTATCAGATCTATATTCCGATACTTGATTAATCATGCTAGTGTCACCTTCGTCATAATCAAATAACTCCTTACACTAACACTAATTCTAACCTTAACCCTAACCGCACTATCCACTAATTAACAACTGTAAACACATACTAGATATTGATCGTAATGTTTTTTTTTTTAAAATAACTGACTCACTTGAAAAAAAAAAATTATGCACGGATTTTCTTTTAATACCGAATTACTGACTAAAAAGACAGACTAGAATACTAACAGTATAGCATAACTGATCACATCACTAACCTAAAAACGTTGCTAAAAATAACTGACTCATCCTACTCACTAAAAAACATGACTTATGCATGTAAAAAAATTGAATTATTTCTTTAAAAATATGACGACTGACTAGGCTACTAACCATATAGCATAATTGACCAAACCACTCACCTGAAAGCGTAGCTAAAGTAGAATAATTGAACAGGAACCAGCCAAGCTAAAGCCATGCTTGACGTACAATCCTTGCCCCTTCCTATATAGTAGCAGGACACACGGCTGTCAGTTTTTATGTGTAATGGGTAATCAAAATCTAAAACAATCTGAAAATAAAATGGCTCATCTAGTATCTAACTATAATGGACATTTTTTTTTCTTAATTAAGACACCATATTATGAAAATATAATTAGTTCTATTTGTCTTTTTGTCTCAAATCGATACTTCAAATTTAAACTACTCTTTCCGTTTTCTTAGTTATTAGCTGATCAGTAATTTAAAAGGAGAAAACCGAAGAAAGTACAAGCTAAGAAGAGTTATCCAATAAGTTTCAGAATATCTCTTTCATTGTTGAATAGGTTGTGAGGAATGATATAATTAATTTTACATTCTTCTCTCTGTGTGATCTCATAGATCAACCATATTTTAATTCTAAACCTAGTAAAACACTGAAGAGCCTGGTATGTCGGACTTTCAAATCCCCTACATTATAGCGTGGTGAAGGTGAGTTGCAAGACTGCCGGGAACCTAAACGGGTCTGCTCTCAACCCTAACCAGATATTTTGACTTTAAGCTGCGGCCTTCACGTGGCTTCGGAAGAGTGCCATTAGTAGGACCAAGCTCATAACCCCACTAATGGGTGCGGAATGGCTGCTGGTAGCCAACAGTAGCTAGAGGTTTTTGATCTGGCCGAATGCCCCCCCCCCCCCCACACACGATCAAGCCGGGTACGAGTCGACGGAAGTAGCGACCGATGTGTAGGAAACTCTAGTGGTTCGGGGTTTGCTACACTGAGGCCTGTCTGGCTAATGGGAGTCCAATTCCTAAGCCGATTTTCGTATTAGGGAGGGGAGTAAAACGCTGAATACAAATAATTGTAACACAATAATATCAATTATTCAACATGATAGATACGTCGTATGTTCAGAAGAGAGTGCTTAAGAGCTGCTGTGTGTGTAAAAAAGGGGGGGGGGGATTTGATATTGTACATGCTGAAATAGTGGTGTATATGGCGTATTGCAGCCAATACAATATGTTTTTGTTCGTCTGTTTTTCTGTAACACGATATAATATAATAGATATATGGACGTGCTTCAATTATGCAAATTTAACATAGCTACTCAAATTCGATGCAAATTAGACTACTTCCTTTTCTTCTTCTGTGTTCTTAATTTTATTATTGGAAGAGATCCCTTCCAACACAATTAAGTATAAGTGTCAACTGTTTATCTTTGCTGATTTAGTCAAGTGTGACCTGTTCTGGGCCAGAAAATTATATGTTTTTCTTGGCGTGTTAATTTGTAATATTCGTAATCAAGTGAGTAATTTGGGTGGATTATTTTCTTTTTGTGATTATTTGATTATTTTAGGTGTAAGGAAATAGGTATGACGCCGTAGGCACCTGGAAAGAATAATATTATCAGAACATACTCATGTTAGGCTTTTCAATTTTTTGCTTTTACGGTGTGAAAAGCTTTATCTAGTACGTGTTACTATTCATATATTTTATTATTTATATTTTAATTGCTTCGTATGGGTTTGTCGCTAACTTGGAGAGAGGAGGTAAGTAACAAGCGGTTTTCTGACTCTGAAGTTTTGTATATCTGTGTAACAAAGAGAGATACTGAGGAATCGCAGGTCACGTGTATGTTATTTATAGAATAGCGTGATGTTGCTGTTTTGAGCTTAGCATTATGTAAAGCTCTTATTTTTTTTTCTTAAAATATTTTGTAAATAAACATATAATATAATATATAAATATATATAAAGAAACATAATATATATATATATATTATGTGCGTTAACATTTACAGTTTCACATGGGTATAATTGTTTAGGGTAATGCTTAGACGACAACGGGTAGCAATGTTATAAAAAGAGAGACTCACTGCAACACAACACACTTTACGTGACAATACCTTTCTGCTTTCACTATTCTTGAGGTACAGTGTTTGTTCTCCATTGATTACAATTTTAGTGTTAAGAGCCCATACGACAGCTATAATTAACTCATCATGGAGAGTTGTTGACTCCATTTTCGCCATTGTAATCCTACTAAAGACCACAAATTCCATCGGAATATTATTATCATAATCTACATAGTAGCCGCTCTCTGTAACAATATGATTAAATAAATTGGATTATTTCTCAACTGTATAAGAGTAAGACATAATTTTTAATACCATTGAACCTGACGGAAAAACGCGTGTCGAAGAGTTTACATTCACAGAAGAAGCGTTGCGATTTGTTGCCATGCAAGGGGCGAACTTTCAGTTTCGCGCCCTCTCATAACAAGGGCCGTAATGGAATCTTTTTGCTCATACTGAACATTAATTTAATGTTAAAAGTATAAGATAAGCTGAACATTTTGAAACAATATGGATAGCTTCATTTACATTTTCAAATTAATACAAATATGAATATTAAAAAAGGTACGAAGTTGTACGAATATATATATGTATATATATATATATATATATATATATATATATATATATATATATATATATATATATATATATATATATATATATATATATATATATATATATATATATATATATATATAGACATATTAAAATTACGTGTGAGAAATTAAACCTAAATTATGCTCAAAATACGAACCTATAAAAGGGTAATTCGTTTTTTCTAATTCACAATTGAAATGAAAGTTGTTCTCACAAGTCACAATAATCACTCCAAAGGCTCCTTGCGACGCTAGAAACGCTTGAAAGTAGACACATTAGAGTGTAATCATATTTTTAATCATCAGATGTGAACGTTTAGTATATAGGCCCTTCACATAAAGCAAGTAGTTTTCATCCAGAAATCAGACATGCATTTAACCTAATCTAGTTTTAAAGTCATATATATATATATATATATATATATATATATATATATATATATATATATATATATATATATATATATATATATATATATATATATATTCTTTCATTCGTAGACGACAATTCTAGAAGAAGCCAAATGTCTAAAACGAGATAAAACGGGCAGTTTATTATTGATTTTTTTTTCTTTACATTATAAAAAGTATAATAAAAAGGATACCCACCTCCGCCATCATCGTCATCTTTTAAATATGAATCATTACCACAACTTCCAAAATCAAAAGTTGCAAATTCTTCCCTAAAAACAAATTACAATGTTCACTATATATATATATATATATATATATATATATATATATATATATATATATATATATATATATAGTGTGTGTAATGATGTGTGTCTCGGCTTGTGTGTGTTTGATCTTTATACAGCCTAACATCTTTTATCCAATCCAATTGAGGAATGCTCCTAGAAAAAAATAATGTTTATTGAGCGCGCCCGGTATTGTAAGAATTTTCTTAACACATCCCTGTGTTAAGAATTATATAATTATTATATATTTATACATATATATATATGTATATATAAATCAATATATACATTAAAATGTGTCTGTCTGCCTGTGTGTTATTAATGTATTAATACACTTTTCTTCCTATTGTCATGAAGCTTTGGGGAGTTTATGAAGTTGTTTCAGGGAAGTTTGCTGCGAGAAAAAACTTAATATCAAAAGGCCGCGGTCCGGCTGGGTGTGATTGGACGATCAACGTTTCCGAGTGGCTACGTCTTGAACAGAGGGTCACGTAAACTAAGTGATTCAACAGTCAATCCGCGTTGTTTGAAATAAAAATACCTTGGGCTAATCTAATATATAAAGTTCAATTCTAAATGTAACATGTTTGCAAAGTGTAATAGGTTTGTCGTGGATACTTCAATGGATTTAAGTGTTAGATTATTATAGTGCTCATGGTCTAATTTTATGAGTTAAAAAATTACTATTGAAAGTCTTTAAAAACAAATTTCGTTTTATATTCTTAGAATAATAATTTTAAATTATGAACATTACATAAACAATTTTAAAAGTGTATCAACGTTTATAAAATTTCTAAAATTGTGTCTGAAATGTATTGACTGCACAGTTACTTCCTTTTAAAAAACCATTAAATCGGGGGAAGAAAGAATTTACTTTTTATTACTTTGTTTTGGTGTAAAGAAAAAAAAAATAATTACATAATTAGCAGGGATTGATTAAGTGCAATGTCGTTGGTAGTTGTAATACTGCCTTTTATTTATTCTATACACTGAACATACTGTTCACTAATTATTTTTTAAACTCAATAACATTTAATAAGCCAGGTCCTATAAATCCTATATGTTTATTTCTTTCCATTTACGGATAACCTTGGAGTATTATAATTTTGTTCACTAAATTGAAACATGCGCGTCCGCCGGCGCCCTTGCACGGTTCGATTTGGCGCCCTGGGCTATCATGTGAGCGCTATGCTGCATAATTTTGTTTTAAACAGTGCGATAGACTATGGATAAGAAAGGTTACTATAGTCTTTAAGTGAATCGAATCCGAGCTAGACTGTGAGCACTTTGCGTTTATGTTCGCGTTAGTGTTTTCTTTGTGTTTAGGTTGGGTTTGCGTTAGTGGTTGCGTTTTGATCTGGTTCGTTTTTGTTCTTTCTTTTTTCGTTTTCGTTTTCTTTTGTGTTTTTTTTTCTTTGGGTTTGTGTTTGTATTTGTGTTTGTGGTTGGTTTTGCGTTTGGATTAGGTTTGTTTTCGTTTGCTTTTTCGTTTTTTTTTTTTTGTGTTCGTATTGGTGTTTGTGGTTGTGGTTGGGTTTGTTGTTAGGTTTTCGTTTTCGTTTGCTTTTTTGTTTGTTTTTTCTTTGTGTTTGTATTTGTGTTTGTGGTTGTGGTTGGGTTTGTTTTTAGGTTTTTGTTTTCGTTTGTATTTGTAATTGTGTTAGCGTTATGTTTGCGTTTTGTTGTTTTGGTTGGTTGTGGTTTGGGTGGGCAATACCGGGTTTATGATGATTATTAAACACACAGGTAATGGTCTTTAAAAGAAAGGTTTTTCACAGAAGCCAGAGCAGGGCCAGGCCGGGACGGCTAGTCTTTAACTAAATCAAAAGAGATTGATCCGCCACTCCCGGGTTGTCAGAGTTCTAGTACGTCCGCAAGCACTATCATGAGGACATTCGTGAATTAATCAAACCCGGTGCCAGCATGTTCGTATAACCGGTGGCTCCTGAGAGTTCCACGTGACCCACCTTACCCCGTGGGTGATCAACGTTTCTACTTTACCCTTCAGGAAATTGATTAACGTATACTGAAGATCTGTTGTTGTTTATTTTTACTGATTCAATAATATTATGCATGCGTTTTTACAATGATAGCAATAGATATGGAAAGAAAATTAGGTCACGTGTATAAAGATACTTAATTTTTAAAATTCAATGTTAACAAAATGTGTGTCTTTGAATTTTTTTTCTTATGAGATCGCAGCAGTGCGTGTGACGGGTACGCAAGTATAACAAAGAAAAATGGGACTAAGATGTATTAAGATAGATATAAAAAGCAAAAACAAAATATAAGTAAATATAAGATAAATATCACAAAACATTTCTACCGTCTAGGCTCCTTTTTATCTGTCGATTCATAATACCCATTATTCTTGTTGTAGAGATAAAGAGTGATGAAGTTGTAAACATAGGTCGAAGCAGACATGACTAGGAGTTGTCTTGCGTAGTTCCTAGAGGCATATACTTAAGTGACTTAGGGGTCTTCCATAAATTTTAGGTGGTGTCTTGCTTTTTGTGATGACGTGTGATGGAGGGGGGGGGGTTAAAAATCGTCCAAAAAAGCGTGACGTCATTTATGGATGACCCCTTATGTTTAATGTAATGCCTTATAAAATATAATCATTATCAGAATATAGTGTGAAACATTATATGTTAGAATAACAGTTTCTTTTGGAACTTAGTCTAAATACTAGTAGAATGCGTACGTTTAATTCGAAACAGTTATTTATTATTACAATATTTACACATTTTCAAATGGTTACAAAAAGAAATATAAGCTAAGTTTAACTGAGTTTGTGTTATCAAAAATTATTAGGGAGGATAAGCGAGTCGTAAATTTATAAATTATATCCAAAGGAGAAGAACTTTGTTCGTATTACCCGAACCAAGGGAGATAAAATAATGTATTGAAAGATGTCACGGGTAGAGCCAGCATGGAATCGATCCAGTAGCCAGTCCGTTTATCGATGATCAGGACCGTAACAGCGAAATCGTATTCATACTTGGGGTTTTCAAATACAATCGATCTGTAAATCTCGCTGTTTACATGTCAAAAGTGTTGGGTAAAATGATAATAATTAGACAATAAAACATTAGCAAAACTTCATTCACTTGTAGATTATTACATTAATTCGTTCGTTCATTCGTTCACTCGTTCATTTGTTTAATCGTTCATTCGTTCATTCGTTCATTCGTTCATTCGTTCATTCGCTCTTTCGTTCATTCGCTCATTCTTTCATTCGTTCATTCCTTCATTCGCCCATTCGTTCATTCGTTCATTCGTTCTTTCGTTCATTCGTTCATTCGTTCATCCTTCATTCGTTCATTCGTTCAGTTGTTCATTCCTTCATTCGTTCATTCGTTCAGTCTCTCATTCGCTCATTCATTCATTCCTTCATTCCTTCATTCGTTCACCCGTTCATTCGTTCATTCGTTCATTCGTTCATTCGTTCATTCGCTCATTATTTCATTCGTTCATTCGTTCATTCGTTCACTCGTTCATTCGTTCATTCGTTCATTCGTTCATTCGCTCTTTCGCTCATTCGCTCATTATTTCATTCGTTCATTCGTTCATTCGTTCATTCGTTCATTCGTTCATTTGCTTAGTAGATTATTTTTTTTCAAAGCTCCATATTTCAGTATTTCTATTGTTCAGTATTTCAATTTTTGGCTGAATTATGTAAGTTTAGGTAGATGTGTATCGATAGGTATGTGTAGGTGTGTGTGTTATAGTGTGTGTGAGAGAGTGTGTATGTGTAAGTGTGTGTGAAATTGTTGATTTGAATGTGCAAGTAAAGTAGGCGTGGTTTTCTCAATTTTGATATATATATATATATATATATATATATATATATATATATATATATATATATATATATATATATATATATATATATATATATATATATTAATACTAATAGTTTCGCTGTCTGTCTATGTATCTATCTGACAAGAACGCTCTAGAGAAAACACAAGGAAAATAAAAACATGCATAGTAATTCGAAAAACGAAGTATGACGTCGACACATTTAGCACAGAGTAGAAAATAATCTCAAGCCGGATAGTGCACACATTAATATGACGTCATTGATTATCGAGTAAACATTCAATACAAAGGCAATTTGGTCTAATCTAAGTGGTTTGCGTGAAGAGTTTCTTTCATACAATTCTTCGGGTAGGAACGAAGCCCCACCCCCGCGTAAGAACGTCTGAGCCCCCCCCCCCCCTCCCCAACTCAAAAGAAATTTCCTCATCGATACTCTATAATAAAATTACCGCCTAATTAATGTGTCTAATCTAAAAAGTGGTTTTCTTGCAATGGGACGGTAGACATGTTTTTTTTTGGGGGGGGGGGGGGGTGGAGGGGTGGGGGGGGGGGGTGGTGTGTGTGCGTGGGGGGTGGTGTGTCGGGGGGGTGGGGGGTGGTGTGTGGGGGGTGGGTTGGTTTCAGTGTTTCTTTCAGACTTTTTCCTCACCGGAGAGGGGTAGGGGTACTTGAAATTTTCGGGGGCGGGGGTAGAATTTTCTGGGAGGGGGCGGACACTGGAAAAAGTGCATAATTATATTTCGTTGAATGGGACGGTAGACATGTTTTTTTTGGGGGGGGGGGGGGGGGGGGTGGAGGGGGGGGTATGGGGGGCTTGGGGGGTGTGTGGAGGGGGGTGGTGTGTGTTGGGGTGGGGGGTGGGGGGTGGGGGTGGGGGTGGTGTGTGGTGGGGGGGTGGTGGGGGTGGGGGTGGGGGTGGTGTGTGGGGGTGGGTTGGTTTTAGTTTAGAGAAAAGAGACAGCACTATCAGCCTAGCGCCCGTTGTACCCTTCCTCAACGGGCCATTTTTCTCGTATATATATATATATATATATATATATATATATATATATATATATATATATATATATATATATATATATATATATATATATATATATGATATACTAATTTTTTATATATTTATTTTTTAATTAAATGTTTTACCTAAGTGCAATGTCTAGTGATTTTACAACCACTCTGTTTCTTGTTAAATACAAATCAGTTGGGTAGACCTTGTCTTCATAAAGAGGTGGTTCTACTTTCTTTATCAAACAGGAGACGTGAAAAGTCTCGTGGGACATCGTTACCAGATGAAATTCCGCTGTAGCTGAGCTGTATCTCGGTACCCCCAGAATAAAATAACTACCATATGTACCTGCTGGTGAATTAAAAGGGCAACATTGTCATAAAAAAATATGTGGTACAATAAAAATATTCAGCTCATTATATTTAAAAAATATAAAATTCGAATTTTTCCATAATTTAATTATTTCCATAGTGCATACACATTTTGCATTCAATTTTATCAATATAGGCTTATTTGATTGCATTTATCGGACGACTTTTTTTTATTACGTGTATTAATTATACGTTTTTTTACTATTTAACTAATAGATAGAATCTAATTATCTCTAACAACTGATTAATTATATATGCTTTAATTCAATATATTTTTAATGCTAGATTATTTTCTGTTTGACTAAATTTAGAACAAAACTCATCGGTGTCTTCCTAACTTATGTGAAATATCCATGAAATTTCTTCTCTACTTCTAACCATTTTTTACTGTTGTTTAGCTTTAAAGTGGATTAAATAAATTAATAATAATCTTTATATTCGATATATTTTATTGAGTTATTTCTCTATTGAAATTATACTTTATTTCACAAAGTGTTACATTAAATTAAAAAGATGTAATAAAATGAATATTACCTCCGCGTATAATTATCAATTGGTGCGTTAGAGTTGTCAAAATAAACACTAATTGAAAAAGAATCTGTCAATAAATATAAAAATGTTGGAACATTAGAAAAAGATCATCTAATTTTGATTACAAGAACTCAACAACATAGGCCACATTGTATAGAGAACACCAGGCTATGTAATCACGGCGTATGAAAAAGTTTCATTTCTTCTATACCCAATCAACTAATATCTCTAATGTAAGTCAAATAATGTTATACTTAAAATGGTAATAAACAATAATACAAAATGCACCAATATATAGATATACCTCCATTTCAAAAACTTGTGATGAAGTGTTTGTTAATTAAAGTTAATAAACCGAATTGACTACACTCCGTGTCAGCCATGTTGTATACGCACCTCAATCCTGTGTCATAAATCTATATTGTTAAGTGTTGTTTTTTTCGCACCAACATTGACGCGCATGATACAATGTGGATAGCTAACACCTCGTCGCAATCTGTTTTACAATCTGAATTATTGCTAGATATCTTTTATTGTACGTTATTCTAATGGCTGGGGGTATAAAAAATCGAGAAAGACACTTGCCCAAATAGTGTTTGCTCGAAGGCCGTTTTCCCCAATGGACAATTGACCGAATGCGACAAATGCCCGAAGGGACATTTACTGACTTGATTTACTTTGAAACACATCATAAAAGTAAATGGCTGCAACTAAAACTCTTCAAAAGAAAGTGTATTGGATTATCTCTTTAGTAAGCCCCTCTGCTACTTCTGTCTTCATCGTCAACGGCGTTCCCTGAGATACACTCGGCCTGTCCACTTTATTTTCACCCCGGGGATTAATTTCCAACACTCTCTTCGTTGAATTTTCATTCGTTCTCTTTAAGTAGTGCACCCAGGGGCGGAACTACAGTGCCGCCAGACCCCGCAATGCGGGGGGCCCACTCCATTTAGGGGCCCATAGCCGACCATAATACATTTTTTATGGTTAAAATGTTTAAAATTTTCTTGCATTCTTGACTTGACGATATAAATATAAGCTTTTATAAATAACAAACAATCTACTACAGTAGTGATGTTATACAGTAGCGAACGCATGCTGTTGCGTAAAAAAATATATATATGCCTCGGCTGTAGTGTGAAAGATAGGTAAACGTTCAAAACACTTCCAAGACTTATTTCCCCTTTTTAAAATAGTTAAATAGGGGTGCTCGTAAGGTCCTTTTGATATATTTGTACTAAACAAATTAAAAAGCAATTACTACTCTTAATTATTATTTTTAAAAAATACTAAAGAATGACAAAGCATAAAAAGAAAATATATTTAAAACAAATAATGTAAATACAAAAAAAAACATAAAAATAAACAACACAAGAAACCATAACACATACAAAGCTTTCACGTCTTATATTCTTTTGACCGGCTATCTGTAGAGTATAGGCAAACATATTCAATAAACTAATTCTAAAACTGAAAAAAAAAAATTATTCAAAACAGACAAATGCACTCACACACATGACATGTTGCGATTTTTTTAAATTGAAAAAATAAGAAATTTATTTTCAAAACCCGATCAGGCCAGAAATGAGTATCCAATGTTTGTATTATGTGTTTGTATATACATTATATATATATATATATATATATATATATATATATATATATATATATATATATATATATATATATATATATATATATATATATATATATACATACATATATACATATATATACATATATATATATATATATATATATATATATATATATATATATATATATATATATATATATATATATATATATATATATATATATATATATATATATATATATATATATATATATATATATATATATATATATATATATACATATATATATATATATATATATATATATATATATAGGGGGGGCAGAAATTTTATTTGCGGGGTGGCCTTTTTTTCTAGTTCCGCCACTGAGTTCACCATTACGAAGCTACCTAGCTAGACTGCTAACCCTAAAGTTTCGAGTTTGAATCCCAATTTAAATTTAAGTAGAAGTACAAACTGTTCGGTACTATTGACAATTTAAGGACTTTGCATAGTACTGACTATACTATCCCTTTATATGTCAAATGTCTCAGAAAGAGATGAATTCACTTCATCTGCCCATTGTGTCTCTGAAAAGATCGGGAAAAGCATTGACTACAACATTTAACTCTTGAGTTAGATTCCCAAGATCGAGTTTCGGAGATGTCATTGAATACACAAAACTGGCGTCGAAGGTACCTGACTCTCCTATGTGCAGACTAAATCAGCTAGGTATAAAGCTGACCATACTATCCCATTGTATGCCGAGGTCATTAAAACGTATGAACTTCATATGTTCCATATATTTTGGTAACACACGGAAAGGTTGATGACTATCGGGGCAAGCCCGGTCTATTGGGAATATGCCTTCTGATATCCCCGATTATGGAATACTGATTAATGCTTTGCCAAAGATGGGGGGGGAGATGTTTTCTGATTATCTTGTGTTGTTGAATTGTTATAGACATCTTCATAAATGACTGTTTGATTTCTTAAAAAATAATTTTGAAAACTACGTAATATTTGCATTAGAAATAACATACTATACTTATAACTTTCAAATAAATGTTCTGAAATAAAAATTAGTTTTTATATCGATTTGTTATTCCAAATATTTTTGTATAAAACCAATAGTCAGGCAGTGAGAGTAAAACACAAAATCATGCCGAAATTTTGATACAATTTTAGATTTTACTTATCCTTCTTAAGATCATACAGTGACAACACACATTCATTTAGAATCTAAATATTATTTTATTTTTAATTTTTTTAAAGTTTAAGTTGATTTTTGGCACACGACTCTCACACCAACGGTACAATAATGGTCAAATATTAGTGACATTATACGGCTACAGTCGTTATAGTTTTAAAACTCGTGTTTGGTCAAATAGGCCTACTATAGACATGATATATGGCTACAGTGTTTATATTTTTAAAACTTGTGTTTGGTTAAATATTACAGACATAATATTGCTACTGACTTATACTTTTTTTAAAACTTTGGTCAAATATTATAGATTTGATATATGGCAACAATCTTAATAATGTTGAAACGTGTGTGCATGCCACAGCTTATCTTCCTCACACTAACATAATAATAGTATATCAGGTCACATTTGAGTAGCATGGAGGATACAGAGATGGGGCAATTAATATAAAGTAAAATATGGAGGGGGTGGAGGAGGCGGAGGCGGTGGTGGAGGGGTAATGAATATATAGTAAAATATGGAGGAGGTTGAGGAGGCGGGGGTGGGGGTGGAAGGGCAATGAATATATAGTAAAATATGGAGGGGATGGAGGAGCAATAAATATATAGTACAGTATGGAGGAGGATGGGGCTGGGGTAGTTGGGTGGGGCTATGAATATATAGTAAAATATGATGGGGCAGGCTGGGGTAGGGTGAATGTGGTGGAGGTGCAATAAATATATAGTAAAGTATGGAGGAGGGTGGGGGACCATTTTGGAGGGACCCATTTATCTCATTTCATCTATAATTAATTTTGCGATCCTGGTTGAGTTGATCGATACTTGGCCTTACACCAGGTGTTAGTTATAATGTATATTAAATTGTGTCTTATTTCACACTCTTTTGATCTACATATAGTTTTATTAGAAGTATTTTTTTTATTTTTTTTATACTTGCTTGTTGGTTTTATGTAAGTTTATTTACATAGGTGAGACTATGTTGTATTTGGTCACGAGATGCGGTGACCTTTGGAGTCCCTTGATGTGTTTGTTTGTTTGTTCAAGTACCAACGTTGTTTACATTTATTTCATGACACAAAGTTCTATGTTATCATTGTCAGACGTAATTACCTAACTTGTAATTATATCATTGACTCCATTTATTTACATTAAATATAGCGCCAGACGTTCAATAGAGCTCAAGACACGTAATTCATTTTTTAATTACATTTTTTAATTCTTCTTCTTCTTTTTCGTTCTTAATTTTTAGTGTTGGAAGGGATCGAGTCTTATCTGCCAGAGGGTTTGAACTCAAGACGAGAGTAACAATGAGAAGTGTCGTGTCTGTAGGATGAGTGAGAAGTGTTAGCAACCATGAGCTTTACCTACTCGACCAATTTATTACTGAACGGCATGGTGGAGAGTGGTCCTGACAACATTATTGCAAGTTGGTGAATGTCACGGGTTCCATCTTACCTGTCCTGTGAAATCACCCTTACACAACACACTTACACACACACATACACACACTCACCTGAAACTAATATCAAAAGAAAACCACAACAAAAGTCTTCGTATGTTTTATTTATTTATTTAACGTTTTTCCAACTGATCAAAGCAGAGGCGTAGCGACCCTTCCTGGCGCCCGGGGACAAACTTTCAATTTGGCGCCCCCCTAGGGAGCAAATTTTCAATTTTACCACCCTCAACTTTTCGATTTGCACCCCCCCCCCCCCACTCAAACTGCAAAAATGCAGCTAAAATGACATTTTTATTTGTTTTTACAACCCGAGGATAGGAAATTACTTAATGGTACCACTTCTTGTATATTTTGTTTACACGTTTCACATCTATCTTATACTACTAAAACTCAAGTTGGTTTACATGCTTGAATTTTTTTTTTTTTTAGTCTGATTGGCTATATGAGAGAATCTACACTATGTGTAGAGCTGTAAAATAGTATGTAGGTAGAGAACAATTTTTGTTTTCAGACAGACTGTTAATCACAAATTTATTTAAAGACGTCAATTAATTTATCGATTTATTTATTGGTAGATTAACCATATTAATTATAAAAGTTTAAAAGAATCGCTTTACTTTGACTGAATAGTGACTTATTAGTACAATAAAACGGCGGCTTCAATACAATATTTCGTGGCCCATTCAAATCTTTAACGCGTTATAAAGCTAATTTTCTGTCGGCTATAACTTTAACAATACGTCCGTTTGCTAATTTTTCGCAAAAACGAAAAATCAATATAAGGTTTTAGAACATAAAATATGTGTAGTGTAGCAGTATGTACTTATTATGTAAACTTTGTTATCTCAGTACTGGTCATTGTTGGGTTAATAGTCATTTGTTTCTGATATCAAATCCTTATATAATTATACGAGACAGATGTAGTAGGCATCGCACAGTACTTGCATTAAAATGTTTTTGGTTCAACTAAGGAGTCGAAACCATAGAATATAATATGGCCATATCTATTGTGATACTCATTTAGATTTTAAAATGTAGAGTATTACAACCGTATATATTTAAATATATTAATATATGTTAATAAAAAAACAAAAAATAAAAAGCAATTTTATTTTTAAATGTATTTACACAGTATACTTAATCTAAT